AGAGGGAGTCACCCAAGCCGCCAACAGTGGGGGCACCCACCCTCAAGACCTCCGTCTTGTCCGGGTTCAGCCTCAGCCCGTTCTCCTGCATCCATTCCAGTACGGTCCCCAGGCAGCGCTGGAGGGACAGGACGGCATCACCTGCAGTTGGAGTAAAGGAGATGTAGAGCTGGGTGTCATCCGCATACTGATGACACGACGCTCCACATCCCCTGATGACCCCACCCAGCCACTGCCATGGTCCCAACGTGCTGGCCAAAAGGTCACGATCCACTCACCTCTTTTTGTCCTGGAAGGGCAGGGACATGAATATTTCTTCGTAGTCATCCGTAACTCGGTTGATCTTTTCATTGGCGTACACATTCAGCTGTTCTTGAAACTACAAAAAAGGAGCGAGGGGAGGGCATGATTCACATGGCAAGTCTCCGGCAAGTGTTTCCACTAACGTTTTTCCTGGATGTCATTCCTTCAAAACATGGGCTCTCCCGGGTTTTCCCCATCCTCCGCCTCTCTCAGTACTAGAACTAGCTGTGTCTGTGTGTGTGTTTGTGTGTGCAATGCAAAGACACACCAACCACTGGCAGAACGGGAGCGATAAAATGAAATCCTCCCTCCGTGCTTAGTCAAATTCTGGAATTTGCTTCCACGAAACAGATGAGCATTGACGAAGCACGCTTTAACAGAGATAATGCAATCGTCTTTTCGGGTTTCGCACTGCAGTATTTCTCAGTTGATTTGGCGCTTCTATTAAATTATTATAAAAAAAACCAAGATTCAAAAGAAATGCACCGTTGCCTTGCTATGCTGTCTTTATTTTTTAAGGCATGGTTTCGACACTTATCATCTACGATCCTCGAGGAAGGCTCTGTGGCATGCCCTGAGAAGCGAGGATAGTTGTGATAGGAGAAGTTAACTTATGCTTTTTTTTTAAAAAAATGGCTTTATATGTTTTCCGGCACTTATACCCTATTTTTCTCCCTTAAAAATGGAGACAAGGCAGCTCATGATAAGAACAACAACAAAAAAACGCAGTTAAGACACAAACAAATAAAAATATTGAAAGACAGATTAAAAACACAAGTTAAAACAGAACTATAACGCACCAATAAAAATGACCGAAAGGGACTTCTTAAGCATTCACCCATATGCAAAATAAATAAATAAATAAATAAATAAATAAATAAATAAATAAATTCATGAAAAACTTCTTTTTTGGTATCAACCAGTTGGGCTCATTCAGTGGGCGCGGGATTTATTATTACCTTTGTTCGGTATTTTGGAGGGCAGCTTTGGCTGCCTCAGGCTGGTCTTTTAGAAACATTTGGTACATGGAGAACGACTGGATTAATCCCATCAGCTCAGCCACAGTCATGGGGACTTTATCAAGCACACCGGTAATTCTAGGAGGAAGCAAACATGTTAAAGGCGCTCGTGTGGAACAATTCTGCCTCAAGTGCATTTCACAGTTTAGATTCAACAAGAATGGTCCTGATTCTAGAGGGAAGCCATCTAGCTGAGCCAATGGCATTCAGAGCCAGTTCACTCTGAACTAAGAACAGTTTGCACTAAAAAAAGAATATAGTGGTGCCTCGCATTACGATGTTAATTCGTTCCAGCGAAATCGCTGTAGAACGAAAACGTCGTAATGCGATTTTAAAAAGCCCATAGAAATGCATTCAAACCAGATTAATGCGTTCCTAGGGGCTTGAAACTCACCGTCCAGCGAAGATCCTCCATAGCGCGGCCAATCCGTGCGAAAACACAGCAGGCAGCCATTTTGTTTACCCGGCGGCCATTTTGAAACCGCCGATCAGCTGTTAAAAAATCATCGCTTTGCGATGATCGGTTCCCGAAGTAGGGAACCGATCATTGCAAAGCGAAATTCCCCCATAGGGAACATCATTTTGCGATCGCTTTTGCGATCGCAAAAACATCAACGTCAAGCGATTTTGTTGTCAAACGGAGCGCCCGTCTTGCGGGGCACCACTGTAATAAAAATAGGATTTTTAGACTGCTTTCACTGCCATGGCCCCAACGTGCTGGCCAAAAGGTCACGATCCACTCACCTCTTTTTGTCCTGGAAGGGCAGGGACATGAATATTTCTTCGTAGTCATCCGTAACTCGGTTGATCTTTTCATTGGCGTACACATTCAGCTGTTCTTGAAACTACAAAAAAGGAGCGAGGGGAGGGCATGATTCACATGGCAAGTCTCCGGCAAGTGTTTCCACTAACGTTTTTACTAAAATTTTTCCTGGATGTCATGCCTTCAAAACATGGGTCCTCCCTGTTTTTCCCCCATCCTCCGCCTCTCTCAGTACTAGAACGGAGCTCTAGCTGTGTCTGTGTGTGTGTGTGTTTGCTGTGCGATGCAAAGACACACTGACCACAGAACGGGACCAATAAAATGAAATCCTCCCTCCGTGCTTAGTCAAATTCTGGAATTTGCTTCCACGAAACAGATGAGCATTGACGAAGCACGCTTTAACAGAGAGAATGCAATCGTCTATTCCGGTTTCACACTGCACTATTTCTCAGTTGGTTTGGCGCTTCTATTAAATTATTATAAAAGACCAGGATTCAAAAGAAATGCACCGTTGCCTTGCTATGCTATCTTTATTTTTTAAGGCATGGTTTCGACACTTATCATCTACGATCCTCGAGGAAGGCTCTGTGGCATGCCCTGAGAAGCGAGGATAGTTGTGACTACA